AGAGCTCTGTCGATGTTCTGTTTATGTCAGCGTAATAAAATGCGGCCTCTTAGGGAACAATCTGCCCTCTGCTTTTACCCATATACAGTATAAAGGAAAATTATAATATACATTTCACATTGACCCCTCCATACTTCTATGAACACTGCATATTATTATCTGACAAAAAACGTCCAGTATTCTGAAACTGTGTTAATGTGTTTACTAATTTCTCATACTAACAAAATACTATTCACAAAATGTTTTTTTTTGGTGGGGGCATAGTGAATATCACTGTTTGTGAGGATTGGTATGATAACTTGTGCTATGTGAATGTCCTCTTTGAGTAGAACGTGAAAATAACATATTTGCCTAAGATTCTAATATGTCATGCTTGCTAATGGATCATCATGATCATTGAAAGCCACCATGACCCGTTTTAGCATTCTGTTTTCGTAGTATTTTGAAAATGATGGAAAGTGTAGTTCAAGAATAGCATTATAAGACATTAAAATATATATTTGTTTTAGAAGTAGACAATTTTTTAGTCATCACTTGGCTTACTACTCTTTCCATTTGATAAAAACTTTAATGATGAATTGTTGATGAGTTTGTAGATTACTTTTCATTCTGATCCATGTTTTCCATGGAAGACCCTGCATTCCAGGCAAATTAAGACATTCTTTGCGAGTTGCAGGACATCACTGTTGCGACATCACTCCTTACTGCTGACCCGCCTGTAATAGGAAACCTGGATTCATGCATAGAGGAGTCCCAGCCTTGGGTGATGGACATATCTTAGTACAGCTCTGACGGATGGTCTGTAGCTTCACTCCGTGTGAGACCTACAGCTGACGGTGCTTCTTTTTGCCTTTTAACAGCTGCTTTCCTCACCAACAGGCAAACGAAAACCAAACATCATCACCCCCTTTGTTTTACATGTTGGGTTTCCGTCATTTCTCCTTGACACGTAATTCAGATGCTTATTTCAAGTCTTTTTATTGGGAAAAAAAAAATCTGCGATAGCTTTTTCCATCAGAGTACAATCATTTAGATTTACAAGCCTTGAACCTTGGTTGTCACCACATACCATCCAAGGAGTAATTAAACTGGCACTTTTCACAAGTCACACTCAATAAATCTGAATATATTAACAAGGCATTACTGAGACAGCAACATAAAATTTGCATAGTGCATTTAATGAATATGCAACTACAAGTGGAGGGCTGCACTGGTGTGAACCCCTGAAATTAGCATAACCACCTCCAGCAGGTTTCATTAATAATCAGCTCATTTGCACATCATAGCTCATTTGCACATCACTGAGCCTGGCCAATTCAAACTTCAGTCAGGGCAGCCATGTAATTAAGACTTTTGCTTTCATTTTTGATGGAGTTTACATCCAATCCAATCAGGGCAGTAATGAGGGGGTGTGGAAATAAAAAGGCTTCTAAAATTTAAATTGACTAATTGGTTTGAAAGGTAATCATTCCTGGGGAAATATGAAATCACTAAATATTAATTAAATGTCCGTGATATTTCTGGGACTAGCATTTATAGGGCATCATATGTGAATGACTTCATTACCTCTAGCCTGGATTGAAAGACTGTTCCGTTTTGTTTAGCTATTACCTAAGATGACACTTGAAATCAGAAGGTTTTAATAGGTATGATTTTACTCAGAGAAGGTACACCAGAGATACAGTTAAATTTTAAGGTAACAGATAATCATGACTGAAACATTTGCATTTTTAATGTAATTATGCCATATATCTTTTGATTAATATAAATTGTCACTGTAAATGGGAAGAATAGCTACTGAGAATATATACATACAGAGTAAAAAGGAAAGGACCCATGTGGGACTTATATTGATAATTTGTCCAGAGTCCTTGTCTTGCAGTTTCTTTTTTGTCCTTAAGGTTCAATAATTCTAACTGGAACTGGCAGCAGAGAGCACAGAGAGCAAGTCATCTACATTAAATGGCTCCCTGTGCCTGATTACACAACAGTTCGGGCAGGATCTCTACAAAGGCATAATTTATACTTTCATTTGTGCACAGAAGGTATGAGGTAGGTAACCTTCTATTATGATAAAAAAAAAGGAAAATTATCAGAAAGAGCTTCTGCTATGTACAATCCACTTCCCACCATTCCATTTTAACTGGATAATTTCTCATTACATAAATTCCTAGGCGCCATCAGAAATCTCTGGTTAAGTGTAAACAAAGACTATATGAAAATGTGATTGGCTAATTCTACTGTCACTCTGAAGTGATGTCACCAAGCGCCATAAGAGTAATCTACTCCCACACCCCCAAAAAAACATGATTGGATTGTTTCTCAGACACATTCAGTGTAATAGCCCCCCATTGCAGCTTATTTTTTAAAACACACAATAATGCAAAATAAATAAATAAATAAATCTAAAATTATGTTAAAGTACCAACAGTACTTTTATAAAATTATGATAATTGCCATGTCTGAACTAAGCGAATGAATTATGAATCCTTCTCAAAGCTTTGTAGGCTGCTAGTCACAGCTGTTGCCTTAGAATAACTAGTAAGTATAATTAGAATAATTAACTCAAGCACCTCAACAAAGCATCAAAACGAATTAAAATCAAAGTCTATTCAGGTATTGCCTGGAAGGCTCAATGTAAAGGCTACACTGGCCAGTCATGGGCATCTCTGCATTTTAGCTCTGCTACGATGTTACTGCTGCTGTACTATCAATCACATGGTTAACGTGGGGTTGGGGGGTTGGGCGGGGGGGGTGATTTTCCATTCTTCGTAAGAAGGTCCCACCTGCACATACTTTTCTGATATCAGCTTTACTCTATACTGACTGTAGAATGGTGTTTTCTGGGTTCACCTCTGCAGCTTTTCAATTTTTGTCCAGATTTAATTACTGGGAAATTTACATTTGAAATAAATGTTCCCAAAAATGACCAAAAAAGTGCCAATTGCAACCACATATAAGTAAAAGAATGAGGTAATCAGTAACTTAAGCTGTCTAAAGTACAAAATAACACTACATTACATGCTTGACGTAGCATTCTGATGGCACATGAAAGCCATACTGGTGACTGATAGATTCATTTTAGAACCTTCAAGAACTTCAAAATGAACTTATAATTCTCACATTTTCACACGGTTTTGAGCAATAAAGAGGAGGTAATTACAGGTGAGGTCAAATATAAATCAGTCCACAGATTTTAGTGTGATAGTACAGTATTCTCCCAGCAGCAAAAAATTGTCCCTGGACATATCAATCTTAGGACTTTTACAAGATTTTTTTTTTACTGTGTTCACAGTTTGACTTTTGCCATGAGGCCAAATTCTTCTGTTTCAGTTCAGACCATTAATCAACTCTGCACAGGTTCCTACCAAGAGCATTCATGACAGTAGCTTTTATTTTGACAGGGGGGCCAGGTGAGTCCATGTGTGTTTCAGGGACTGAAAGAGGGATGCGTGAGAGCTGCTTCAGCGGAATTCTGAAACTGAAACTGGAGTAGGCATGGCCTCATCTTATTGGCTGTCCACTGGGATGCCATTGGTGGGTTAGTATATGAGATCGACTGTGTTGTGTGTAGGCTGGCTGATTACAGGATCGTGGTTTGATAAAATGTAAAATGTGAGAATTAGGCCTATTTAATTCTCCCTCACACACACACACACACACAATATGGCCAAAAGTATCAGGACATGTGGCTATTACACCTACAAGAACTTTCATAACATCCCATTTTAAATTCATAGGCATTAATATCAAATTCGCCCCCCCCCCCCATCTTTGCAGCTATAACAGCTGCCACACTTCTGGGAAACACGATTTTGGAGTGTGCCTGGGGGGATTTTTCCCCATTCATCCAAAAGAGCATTTATGAGGACATGAAGGCCTGGCTCACAATCTCCATTCTATTTCCTCTCAAAGGTATTTGATTGCATTGAGGTCTGGGCTCTTCCACACCAGACTCACACAGCCATGTCGTTATATTGACCTTGCTTTGTGCACTATGGTACAGTCATGCTAGAACATAAAAAAGTCTTTCCCAAATTGTTCCCACAAAGTTGGAAACATAAAATTGTCCAAAATGTCTTGGTATGCTGAATCATCAAGAGTTCCCAATGCATTAAGAGTTCACAATGCAGTCAGGCAGGTAACGTTCTCCTGGCGTCCACCAAACCCAGACTCAATCATTAGACTGCCAGACAGAAAAGTGGTGGGTGGGTTATGTATATATTACATTGTGAGGACCAAATGTTACTTTGCATACTGTGCTAAAAAAAATTATGTAGTGAAAATGCAAATATTAATTTTAGAGCTCTTCTAGTGATAGAATCACGGCTTTTGTTTGAACCGCTTAATTAAGCTGCAAATAAAGCGCAAAAAACACCAAAAGCATAGAAAAGTAATACGTTTAACGTTTAACGTGGTATACCTACATCTATTGTAAGCTGTCATCTGAAACAATTTTAATGGACCAATACAATAAGGAAAATAATACTGGCCCGTGAACGCATTGTTATTTAATAGTCATGTGTTGCCACCTAGGGGATAGTGCTATAATAACATAGGGTATGTGTGGAATATTACTTTTTTGTTAGTCAAATAAGCGGACTTTGCATGCAACGTTTAATTTAGGATTCAAACGAATTAGGTCGTTCTGACATGAGACCTGTATACAACTAGTACAACTACTCTACGAGGTATCAATCGTAATTCCTGTATAAGTCTACAAGCGTAGCTTTGCCTTAATATCAACAAATATTTCACGTGGGACTCCGTGTGTAATAAAGTCTACTGTGATCAGTTCTTCCTAAAGTTATACTACTTATTTAAACGCAGTCTGCCATATAACGCGCTGGTACACCCCCCCTACAGTTATAAAATATGATAAAAAGTTACATAAGCAGAATTTAAATCATTTTCACGTTTTCGGTATCACACTTCGGAATTAAAGGTGAGGAATGTGACAGGGTGGTTGACTCTGCCCTCCGGTAGGGGGCAGTAAGGGGGGCGTCTTCAGCAAGGAGATGACGGAATATCCGAATAACGGGGAGGCGAAAAAAATACACAGAGACGGCAGGAGAGCTGAGTGCCGGACTGGGCAGTACAGTCATCCAATGGACTGACAGGTCCTGAACGCTATATAGGAGCTTCGGGCCACTTTGGACGGACTGGATCCTCCGTTTTTCCCCTTCCTTGGCAAGACAGGCCGGCAATGGCTGCGGCCGAGGCTGTAAGCGACAGCGAAACACAGAGGGCCGCTGGAGACCGTCAGCTGCTGTGATCGGAGTCCAGCCCAGGAAGGAAGGAAGCCGGCGGACTACGCAGCGAGCCGCTCCGCTTCGCCCGGACCGGATAGCAGATCTGCGACTGTTCATGCTCTTACTGTCAAAGAAAAGGGGATCGATCGCACCCAGATTCGGTAAATAAGGGCTTCATATTTAATAGCGGTTCGTTGTTACGAGGTGTAGATCGCTATCGCCATCTGGCCGGATAACAGGCTAGGTTTCCACGAGCGATCGGCGCTCCGGACACGCCCGGTCGCGGTGTAACCCCGTGCCTGCTCGGCGGTGCTGTAACGCGCGGGGCCGCGACGCTCCGATGGCCGCAGAGGTGATAGAGAGTGACTCAGGCCTCAGGCGGAGCATGAACTCGAGTCTGAACAAAAGCGGCTCTGCGGCGGACACGCCCAGGGAGCCAATGGAGCAGGAAGACGGCAGCTCGGCCCGCAGAACGGCGCCCTCGCCGGGGTCTTTGCGGGCTTCGGCCCGGTCCCCGCCGCAAGAGGCGGCCGCCCCGACCGGCGGCCAGACACCGACGCCGTGTGTGCGATCCTCCACCCCGCTTACTCTGCCCGTGCAGCCGGCTTCGCCTGGACACAACGGAAGGTGAGAGCAATGGCCTATTGTTGTTGTTGTTATTATTATTATTATTGTTATTATTATTATTAATTTTCCTGCCCAAGCGCCGTGTGCGTGCAGCATGGAAACAGAAGGAAAGCGGACTACCTGTTTACAAGCTTTATGGTCCCCAGAAAGTTCCGGTGCTGCGTGTAACTGCGCAGTGGAGACACTCACGAATGACATTTTAAGGCTTTGAAATCGAATTGTTCATGTTGTATTTGTCCCCCGCGCTAAATGTACTTTAGGCTGTGGAAACGGTCCACCCCCACCCCTCTCGTTTATAATTAGAAACTTGTATTACTGTGGCTAGAACTTATCAACTGAAACGCTTTTATCGTGAATCATAACCACCAATTTGCTCTCAAACATGGACCAGAACAAAGCAGGGAGCTAAACATCCTGAATGGATTTGGATTTGCAGCTGCAGCTGCAGCATCTGCACTGAAGTGTTGATTTAATCGGTTTCCCCTTTTATTTTATCGTGCTTGTGCCAAGCAAGACGGTTATGAAGAATCGATTGACCACGTGGCTCCTCCTCGGATAAAACAGAGCAGGATCGTATAGGTGCGAACCAGCAGTCTAACGAAATGTGAATGGATCATGTTTTTTTTTATCGTGAAAGGTAAAACAGCAGCCCTTTGGATGTGGTGATCAGTTATAAAGGCTTGTATGCTGACTGTCATCCACCTGCTCTTCTGCCCTTTCAAAATGGCTCTGAAAGACACTCTGTTTGATCCACAGATGAGTCTGTGTTGGACTACAGGCAGTAAGTTTGCTTCCTGCAGCTGTATTAGATTAGATGAGAGGGCGCTGGGAGGCAGTCATTAAAAAAAATCCTCTGAACAAAGCTTTACTTTGTGTTTTTTTTTCTCTCATTTTTTTGCTTCTTCTCATGTAAACATGGCTCTGAAACACCCCCACCCCAAGCTGCTGCTGGGATTTCTCCGCAGACAGCCTGAAGTGTTGAGATGTAACAAAACCACAGCAAATAAGATGTGTAAAGTTCTGTCGTTACCGTGCAGGTGCCCACACATGGTAACTTAATGCGGCTGGCGTGGAGGGTGCCCTTGTTAAAATTCTGGAGGGCCTGGTCTCTTAGGTGGGAATTATCAGTCCAAGGACTCCTCCAAATTCTTTCCCCCACCCATTCAAATCCTGACAACAGTTGTATTTTTAGCCTCTCGAATGCTAAAGGTGAGTAAAAGTGTCTTTCATAAGTAGCTGAGTTGTAATTCTCAGACTGTTGTTAACATTGGAACCGTGACACACTGATTAGGACTAAGAAACCCCCTGATGATGGAATATGTGGTGGTGGGGGGCAGTCATAGACCAGGATGCATTTCCCTTCAACAAAATGACTTTATTGTGGTACCATCATGCCTCTCCTTCATTTGGAATGCAAGATATGCTTCTGATTGTTCAGTTTCCCTCTTCTTAGACTAAACGGCAATCAGAGAAATTGCTGTTGGCCGACGTTGCCTCTCTGACACGTTATTGGGCAGAGCTGGTTGCATAGCTGGCTCACCATGGACGCTTAACCCGAAGTGGAGCTTCGGCATGGGCGGGGCGGGGTGGCTGGGAGTGCGTGTGAATCAGCAGCTGTCTGCTTCCTGGTAGGACTGGATCTGCCAGCCAGTAAGTCAGAGTATTACAATAGGCAGATCACCAGCAGAAATGGAACGTTTGTCTTAAGCAGAGAATTGATGGATGAAAAAAATAAAAGGCTCCGTCCACTGGTTATAAGCTTCACATATACAGGAAGAGTGTTCTCAGAGGGGTTGCCCTCTGTCAGATTCTGAGCACTGCATTAATGTATCCCATTGAAAATGATCAGCACTGTGTAGGCGGGTTGTAGTGGTTGTATAAGCTCCTCCTTAAAAATTCAATTCTCCAAAAATGGCAATGGCAGGTAATCTTCAAATGGATTGTTATTTGTTGATATTTTGCAGTTGAGTTGAGGGAGGCAGTGACCATTGAACAGAGGTGGAGATTTCAATCAGTATAAAGAGTCACAGTCACTCGACTGGTTAGTTGAAATAAAATCTTGGTCTGGATTTGTACTATGTGGACCTGAACTCTCCACCTCTGTCATTGAGTGAATGGGAACATTCTTGTTACAGGCCTTCTTCCCATAATACTGATTGACTGCAAAAGAGGTATGTGTTTACTATACTGTTGTGTAACTGGTGGAACAGAAACCAATTGATATTGTTTTTGGTGTGGCCAAGGTTTCTAGCCTGGTCAAATAGACATAAAGATTTATTTTTGTTGGCCATTACAAATTTGGTTGTCATATCGCGAAAATTAGTTGCCAAGTACTGGCTGTTAGTGTAAGGTTTGAGGGTAGCCCACAGGGTAGGGAGGGCGACAGACACATTCATTTGCTTCAACTGTGTCTTAATACCAGATATAGACTTGGTTCCACTTTTCCTCTCACCTGTGAATTATGTGCTCCAGCCAAAGCCATCTGTTCCTGACTCTAAACAGCAGCTACTTTTTCGGTTTCTACCTCCATCTTTTTTGTTAAACCAGCGTTGGCTCCTGTACCACCAAAGTACAGTTTATCACACCTAATTTTTAATGGTTTTTACACATAATTGGTCATTATAAACTTTTGGATATGGTAGTCTGCATGTTTACGAAATTATTTTAAGAAAGAGCAGGATGAAAGCTGATCATGCCCCTGTGTGAAAAGCATCAATGATACAATGAATGCCACAAGGATAAAGGGTAATTTCCAGTCTAATGTTGTTATTCTCATTCACAAGATGTTTGTGTTTTTTTCCAAGGAAGTAATGAGTTGGATCATAATCCCTAATGGAGGAGTTTCTTTTTAAGACAGTGGTGTCATTGTGGAGCTGTGGTGTCTGCAGGCCTGATTTCCAACAGCGGACTGTCGAGACACGGTGGCCACTCTGTCGCTAGCATAGGGGAAAACAATAGTCCTTTCACAAGAAGATGTTTTATTGGGAGGAAGTGGATAATGAGCTAAGAGCTGACAGTTCTGCTGCTGTGAAATATCTGACGGGAGTCTCTTTCCATCTGACTGGATCCTTTTGGCCTCTTCCAGTATTGGTTTGTCAGGCTCTTTGGAGGATCACTGATGCTGTATTTTTATTCAAATTGCAGTTTGGAGCGACAAGAGTCTGTTGCGACCACGGAAGCGCGGCTGAGAATGGAGGGGGTGGAGCTAAAGGAGGAGTGGCAGGATGAAGACTTCCCCAGGTACTGAACTCACCCGGTCATCAGTTTTCAGACTCTCATGCTTTGTATTTTCTGGTTATATTTTACCCATTTAGCAGATGTGTTTGTCCAAACTGTCGTACAAGGGAGGCAAATAGCACCTCGCATTTCCTATCTCTCAACGGCGTGCTCAAGTATTTATCCAGTCTTCACATTATCTCCAGGCCTCATTCTCTCAGCTTGTGATACGTTTGGGTGTTCGAGCTTCAGTCCTCTTCTGCACTTGATGTACTTCACATAGTTTATATCTCGCCAAATTCCTTTCTCGTGCCGCACAGCATTTAGGCAAGTGACCATCCTATGGCATTCCACCCAAAAAGTGAGCGTGTCAGTAAGAGCTGCTAAGAAGTAGCCAAAATGTTGGCAAGACGCTCCAGTGTGTGCTATGCACTGGAGTGCAGGAACACTTCCAGGAAGTATGTATCAAGCATAAACATGCAACCACAGCTCTATGCCTTCATCATCTGTGTAAATGAAACCATAATAGTTTTTTGGTTGTGTGAACTAAGGGGATTCTTGAATCTTTGTTAGACCCCTGCCCGAGGAAGAGGACGGCCAGCTGGATGAAGAGCTATTCTCCAGTTCTTCAGTGAACAGGCAGTCTGGTAAGGCCTTGCTTGCAGTTAGGAGTCCACAGGCTTGGCTGTTGTGTTGGCTTTGATGTGCCGTGACATGCCGGTTTAGCCGTCTGACTGCAGGGGTTAGGCCTGTAGCAGCAGGCTCTCTGTTGTTTCGGATCTTAGTGTTATTTGTTTGAAAATGGGAGTGGAATAGTTGAGAATAAGTATGTGAAGCCTGCCAGAAGGTAGGGGTGTGCGATTTGACAATCTTAGACCGTGAATGATTAAAATGTCTCCACGATCTTGCCTTTACAGAGAGATTGTTAGCATCGTGCTATAGTGCTCATAAACGTACCTAAAGTTGTTTCGTCAGCCAGATCCGTTTTGACACACCAATAATGGCAAACCGTAGCCTAGGTAGTGCCTTGGATTTCTTCCTCGCACAGTTTCGCACCCTTGTCCCAACACGCAATGCCCAACAGGTGATACATTCCCTATTTGGCAGCATAGCGGCTTGGATGACAGGGGGGAGTTGGTCCCTAAAACACATTTGACATCAATAATGTGGAACTTGTTTGGATTTTCCGTTAACCACCTCAAAAGAAAAGGCTTTGTTACCTTACTGAACAAAATATGTATGTATTTTAAAGAGGGGTATTTGTTTGTTTGTACTGTTCACTGTCTTTCATAACATGACTCTAGGGCTGCAACGATTCATCAAGTAACTCCGATAACTCGATTACAAAAAATTCTTTGCTTCGATGCTTCGTTTGATCCACATGACTATGTACCGCTCAGTGATCACCGTGTTTCACTCGGAGGATCATTACTGTCGCACAATGTGTTTACGCCGCAGTACGTGTAGCAGGTTTGATTTGATGCCGCAATGGAGGAAGACAGGGATAATAGCGAGGAAAGTCAGAGAAAAAGACTTTCGGGACCATTTCAAACAAAAGAAAAGTGAAAATACTGTACAGTGTGTCCATTGTAAAACCGAATTAGCTTACCACAATAGCACAACGTCAATGATTCAACATCTCAACAGAAAGCACCCAGTCCATGCATCCAGTCCACAGAGCAGAACAAATACAAGGTAAGAGCGAGCGTTTCACTCACATCTGCGGCTAAACATAGACCTGCGATAGAAACGTATTTATGGACATATGTGTGAATAAAAAAAGTATAACAAGATTCAGCCCAAGCAGCCCCTATTTTTCTGCAACAAAAACACTGATAACACAACAGCAGTGAAAATGATGCTGTCGTAGTTTAATTAACATGGTGCTGGAGCCTGTCTATACACAAAGAGCAAAGAGACGGTTCCGTTAGTGATGGTGAACTCAGATGGAGTGAAGGAAAACAACAGCAGTGCTTGTAATCGCTACTAAACCTTTACTGGTAAAGAGCTGGCGAGAGTCCTTAATCAAACCAGCTGTTCAACAAGCTGAAAGGTGAAGAAATGCGATGTTTTCAGCTGCTCCCATCCACCGCCGTTTGTCTTCCACAGCAGCAAGGCTACAGTAAAGCTAAAATAGAAACTGTTTGCATGCAGATAAAGTGAAATAGTTTGACACTATTTAAATTTGGCCACTTTCAGCAGGCTGACAGCCGCCGTCACACTTTCACAGTGATACCTGCAGCATGCAGGGGTGAGTAAAGGGGAGCATGGAGTGTATGTACTCAACTACATCTATTTCAAGGCTTTAGTAATATTATTTTGCAGATTTAGATTAATGAATAATATTGCAAAATTATAATAATATAAATAATATAATATAAATATAATATAAAAATTACCCAACCGCCCCCTCCCCCAACAGCCTTGGGCCAGTAAAACTCTGAGACACTGAATTATCCAACCGCCACATGCTCCATTAAAGGCTTATACAAACACTCATTCTCTAACACACTTAAACACACACACTCTCACTCACATTCACTTACACACGTGAACACGCACACACCATTCCTACCTCATCCAGGAGATACAATCCTGTCAACTTTTTTTTATGTCTCCTATAAATGTACAAGAATACAGAGAGTAAAGGCCATTTTTAATTTATGCCTTAGTTTAAGATGTATTGTTCTTTAATAAGACAAAGGTATTTCTTATCCGATTACTTGATTAATCGATGGAATAATCGATAGAATACTCGATTACTAAAATAATTGATAGCTGCAACCCTACATGACTCAAGACTTGAACTTGATTCCAACTATTTCACTCCAGAAGACTTGAAGTTAGTCGTCCCCCACCCCCCCCAAATACCATAATGTTAATTTTATAATTTCAGTGTATATTAATTCTCTTCTCTCTACATTTCCATTTGGCTGAACACAAGGTCTCTGGAGATAGATTGTTGGACATATGCATCACTCCCTGCACGGGCAAGGACATAACTGTGAGAGGACAATTATGAAGGAGGGGAAGACTCTCTTTTCAACCTATATCTGCCGATGAATGACGTAACCTACCACATACTGTGGCGGGTTTTTGCTACAGCAGTTTTTTTTATTCAGAGATGACGGATGCTGGCCAAAATTATTAGATTCAGTTATGAGGATTACACAGAAAAAGAAAAAAAAAAGAGTAGCCAAATGCATAACATGTCACGCTTCAATATCATATGGACAAGGTATTATATCCAGCTTGACTTTATATGTATGTAGCCTATGTATTTACTCATAGTAGGGCACTAATACTGCATTGTAAATAGTCTGTATTGGCAGTTTGATGTTCGATTTGCATTTTCCATTGCAGAATCTCACACAGGAAGGGATTTGAGTCATATGACTCGCAACTCAACTAGGACTTGAGTCATAAATTTGATGACTGGTCACTCGACAGCAAAAATATTGGAAAGACTTGGACTCGACTTGGACTTCAGGGCAAGTGACTTGAGACTTGACTCACACTTGCAATGTTTTGATTTGACACTTGACTCGGACTGGTCAAGAAGTGACTTGCTTCCATTCATGCTTTATAGGGGCCCCAAAACCTACACTTGGGGTCCCTTGCTTGGAAAATTCGGCTGAAGGGGACCTCCTATTGCCCAGCAGATTCTGTTTACCATGGGACCCATATTTCTTCAGGTTGAAAGTTGCTAGGTGACAAGGCGCCTCCGCTTGACACCCCCGTTTCTTGTCATCCTAGACACACAGTCATATGGAATGAGCAGCGATAAGAAACCCAAGAAGAAGCTGATGGCTCCGGACATCAACCTGACGCTGGACCGCAGCGAGGGCTCCGTGGTGTCCGACGAGCTGGACGAGAGTGGCGAGCTGGACCTGGACGCCATGGACACCCCCTCTGACAACAGCAATGAGTTCGAATGGGAAGGTAGGCGAGGCAGCCCAGTCGATAGGCATCTGTTTTGTAATTCAGAAGCTGCTGAATTTTTCCTCTAAGGCAACATGACAAATTCTGCACTTGAAGAAAAGAGTTCAGTGTTTAGTAACTATTACTTAATTAGCTGGAGTTTTTAGTCTTGGCCCAGTATGATCTCCTTCATACAGTGTCAAGACTTGGTGCATGTGTGTGCGTGTGCATACACACATCCTGTGAGGGTGTCCTCCGCCTTGTGTCCTTTGCTTCTTGGGATGGACACCAGGCTTTGATCATTAGACGGAAGCACGTGCATTCACACAAACGCATGGCGTGATGTGTAAGACCCTGAAAATGATCATTAAAACATCATTAGAATATCAACTTTGTACCGTCCAGTTCTGTGACATTTTTCTGGACCTTCATTGACTAAATTAATTCCACGCAGATACTCCAGTGCAATTTGTACCATGAGAGAATGAAGAAAAGCACCCAGATTCACAGGGTCTATTTACTTTTCCAGCCCACTGTGTATAAGACACACACATATTATCCATTTTTATCAGTGGCTTTGGACTCTGTACCTGTGATCTAAAGGTCACCAGTTCGAATCGCATGGCTAGCAGAGTAATCGGGCCCTTGAGTAAGGCCCTTGACCGCAGTTGCTGCAGGGACACTATGATCCTGCTCTCTGATCCTCACTTACACGGCATTTTGGACAAAAACCACATGCCAATTATAAGTAAATGTAATTGTTTGAAGCTGCTGCCCTCTACTGAGATGTTTTTGTTTGTATTTTTGGAAATCTTTTGTTGAACAATGCTAATACAAGCTAAAATGAAAATGAATAATTTAATTTTTTTTTGCTAAGCCCTCCAGGAAGTGACTTCAGGAGTCTGGCTGTTGCGTTTGAGGAGTTTATCTTGCTTGGGTTTTTGATGGGCACTCTCTTCCGGCCCCCTTATCGCTACTGCAGCTGCATGTTGAAGTGTGACCAGCCAGGTGCCGTCCTCGACGGCCTCTTTGAACTGTGTCTTGTTTCTGTCTCCACTGCTGCTTTCCGCCCTTCTTCCCTGGAAGGAGTGTTTTCATTCATTGCTCGGAAATGGCCAAGTGTTGCTCTCCCCACTGTGGTAAGGTCTGCTGGACTGAACGTCCCGGTTTCGCACAAAAGAGAATCACATCCCAGAATCAGCTGCATTTCCCTAATACCTGCACCCACAATACCTGACCAGCTGTGATCATCAGTCCCGCGTTAAATGCTCCACTGTGGTTCCGTTTTTGGTTTTCATTTTTCTGCGTTTAAACTGCGTTTTGATTGCTTGCATGTGTCCTTTCGTCATCCCTTCCAATCAGGATTCCGGCATTCTGCCTTTTCGTGTGGTCTATGCGTTTGCTTTTTTTGGTTCCGCCGTGTCTCCATTCTTCCTTTGTGTCATGAAACTGCAGGGCTTATTACCGTATGCCGCAGCCCAGGAGTTGTCACGTTTACAAAACAAAAATCATTACGTTAAATTAATTCTGCCTTTATTAGTCTTATTTGTGCAATATGATAATGAGGCGATGCTTTCCTGCAATAGCATCACTACAGTATGGCTGCAAGGATTCAGCAGACTAACTGTATTACATATCCTGTTGCCTGCAGTCACTGGTAATAATTCTGCTTTTCATTACTGGGGAAGAGTGATGTGTGTGTATGTTAGACACGGGTTTTCTGTAGGCATTCATACAGATCGCTCCCTTGCATGTCTTACCATGTGGCGTGTAATCGGGCGTGTTGGGATTACTGGTGATTCTGTTCGAATGCAACAGCGGATCAAGGATACAGTGATTACAGTTTAACTGTTCATTCCTTATTGATTATTTGAGCGCCAACTGGATGGGTGATTAATGGGTTGAGTCATAAACAAAAAATGGATAAAGATGCTACATCTCATCTAAAATCTAATAGGGTGGTATGTCAAGTGCTGACTCTGCAGATAACTCAGATAGCTGTAAGACCTATGGAAATGTTAATGTTTAAAACACCTAGTATTTCTCTTGGTCCTTAGAATTAGAAGTTCCTTTAGGATACATTTCGCTGGATTTAAAACATCCAGTTGCATTTAGACTGTGATGCTCCATGCAGTCAATGAGAGCTCCTTGACCTTCCAGATGATCTTCCGAAACCGAAGACGACTGACCTGCTGAGGAAGGGCGCTGAAGCCGTCCAGGAGTACTCTGCCTCAGAGGAGAGGGAGGAGGGGCGACGGTGGAGAATATTCCGGATCGGTGAACAAGATCACAAGGTGGACATGAAGGCCATTGAGCCCTTCAAGCGTGTCATCAGCCACGGAGGTCAGAGCTCTCTAACCTCAGTCTGGTCGTTGTTGATCTTCGGCATTTCTACACCAATACTTAGAGAAAGTTGGGGCAATTGGGGTTAAGGGCCTGGCTCAAGGCGCCCAATGGTAATATCAATCTGTTGACCATGGACTTGGACTTATTTGTTTGGGACTTTGCATAAGTCCATGTATTTTATAGTTTTATGTCTTCATAGTTATTCTAAAATTAGAACATCATACAAATAAACTTTTCTATGGGTAGGTGTGTGCAAACCTTTGACTGGTACTGTAAGTTAGGGTATGGTGTCTTTATTGTGATATTCAACATCAGTTTTTTCCCAGTGGTGATTGTTTCAACTTGATTGCTGCTTTTTGCAGGTTACTATGGAGACGGTCTGAATGCCATCATTGTCTTTGCTGTATGTTTTATGCCCGAAAGCAATCAACCAAACTACAGATACATTATGGACAATCTCTTCAAGTAAGCTGGCTTCCTGTGGTCGCACCCTACTCACCTCCATCTCTTTGAAGGTATAGCCCATTACTGCCCATCCGTTCTGTCTGCAGGTATGTCATTGGCACTCTGGAGCTCCTGGTGGCCGAGAACTACATGATTGTGTACCTGAATGGGGCCACGTCCCGCCGGAGGATGCCCAGCGTCGGCTGGCTTCGGAAGTGTTACCAGCAGATCGACAGGAGGTGAGGGCCAGACGTGGCGTTGTTACATTGTCTTCTCGGAGATCCAGTTCAGTCTGAGGGCCATGTTCTGCTTAACCTTGCTATTGAAAACACAACACATGACTTGATTAACATCAGCCTTCGTGGATCACTCCATCTTTCTCTGTCATACGTCAGGTTGCGTAAAAATCTGAAGTCTTTGATAATTGTCCATCCTTCGTGGTTCATTCGCACACTCCTTGCCATCACGAAACCCTTCATAAGGTAAGAGGGCTCTGCTTTCATTTATTCTGGGTGTTGCCCTTATTAAAAAATAGATGAAGCTGACATTTCCATTTTGTTTCCATTTGTAGCTCTAAATTCAGCCAGAAGGTGAAGTATGTGTTCAGCCTGACAGACCTAGCTGAGCTAGTACCTATGGAGTACCTGTCCATACCGGAGTGCATCAAGCAGTAAGTAAACCCATTTTTTCTGGAACGTTACTTTTTTCCTCCTTTTATTTTTAGCTTTTAATCAGAATCAGTAGTTATGTGCATAATTATAAAACGCATAGATGTGGTTCCAGGCTGGTGAATTGGGTTTGGCTAAAGAAGGTTGCTTGTCCGGCTTTCCAAATGACTTATTGCCAGCCCAGAATTATTCTGATGCAGAATAAGTCTAGGAGACAGAAGTTTAAATGGAGTTCAAACTGAGCAGATGCACTGATTTTAAACATATGAAATCTCTTGGTTTGCCTAGTGTTTGTTCAGCATCACAGACTGTATGTGTTTATATACTTCAAATGATCTACACGTTGCACTCGCTAGGTTAACGTCGATAACATTTGACCCCTGTCTCTTCCCTGTCTGTCTTAACATGGCAGCTGAAAGGACCTCTTGGCACAAGATAAAACTCTCCCTGTCTGTTCGCTTCAAACATTTTATTGCCTTTTTTGCTTGTTTTATATTTATATGTTGGCTGTTGAATTCCTACCTCTTTTATTCCCTAACGTCCTGTCCCTGCCCCCTCAAAGGTATGATGAAGAAAAAAATAGGAAAAGACGTAAAAGGTATCTCTACGCTTCACGCCAGCGTTTGTCACATCTCTGCAGGATTTTTTTTTTTATGCACGGAACTAATTCTGTCATGTGGTTGGCTTTGAGGAGTCGAGACATAGCACCGAATTATTGCCCCATGAATACCAGGCATCTTGAAATGTGCTGAGATTTTGTGTTTAATATTGCGTTGAGCTGTTACGTGAAGGGGTACAGTATGTAAGTGTTTACAGATGTGGTCTTCCAATATAAAAGTAGAGTGTATCCCAAAGAGGAACCTAGGTAGTCACATGCTACATGAACTAGAAAATATTTTTAGGTGTCTCTGAAGCAGCATTATGTATCTAGACAGCTGCTCTTATTATGATATGTTATTTGCCTCATTTGTATCTCTTTGGACAAAAGTGTCTTACAAACAACCAAATGTAAATTCAGTTTAAGGTTGCTATTGGATTCCTGTCACTTTCACAAAGGAAGTGGCGCTAAAGGGAAGAAGTGCTTGTCTCAGTCCCAAAGCTAACCAATTGCATTGTCTGATTCCAGCAGTCTGCCTATCGCGAAGCACTGTATAATAAAAAAGGGCTGTGCAGCAAATCGCGTTGCTCCATGAAAATCTCATTGTGCAATGCAACAAATCAGAGACTTGCCAATCCTCCTAATAACACTGGAAACACATTCTGCTTGCTGTGTTTTTCTTAAAAACAAAAAGTATTCACTTGTAAAACATGCCTGACTGTGCTTTTAAGAGTGTTTTGTATGTTTTGCTTAACCTACAGAAATAATGTGATTATTTTTCACAAGCACCCTTCCTTTCCTGTGAACAAAATGTGCTGGTTTCTTATTTTAGGCAGCTTAACTTCTGGTAGCCCTACGATGTAGTTTACTGGCTGCAAATGTAAACTATGCATCCAGGCTGTCCGTTCTGGTCGGCTTTCTCTATTGACAGTGAAGCTTAGTGAAGCTCCCAGAGCATCACTAAACTGTCTAACTGTCTGTTGAAGAAACAGCGGTTGGTCCTGGTGACCCGGTCTAACCTGCACAGGATGAAGCTCGCTAGGTCAGTGATGGAGACGCTCTTCATGTGATATGCTGACACTGGGTGGCAAACAGGCTCAGGATGGCGGATTCCCCCCCCCAACACTCTTGGGTGATCTGAGGTTCTGCACGGCTGGCTGGCGTTAATCCTCACATTGTCCTGCATGACTCTCACCGTGCCCCTCCCCCCCCTGGCGTTAATCCTCACATTGTCCTGCATGACTCTCACCGTGCCCCTCCCCCCCACCCATGCACCTCCCCCCCACCCATGCACCTCCTGTATGATGTATGTGTGGCGTGTGGATCGTCAATAAACAGGCCACAGCAAAGCGACGAGTGACGTCAGCAAAATGGGAAAATGGGAACAACGATGACCTGTACTCATGGTAGACTCTGAGTAAAGTGCGGCTGAGGTCTTCCAGCTTAAACACCGCACCTGTCATTGAAAAGTGCCAATATTAAAACACCCTGTGTTTGGACTTTGGGTGAATGAAGTCAGACAAGACGGTCTAGACCAGGGTTATTCAACTCACGGTCCTCAAGGTCCGAGCACTGCTGGTTTTCCAGCCTTCCTTTACCTGTCAGTCAGATGTGAAGCCTCTGACCAATCAGAATCAGTAATTATTAAACTAACTACCTGGGGGAACTGAAAACACGGCCTGGATTTGGAATCGAGGTCCAGAGTTGAAGAACCCTGGTCTTGACCATGACAGGAATATGGCTGGCTGGTGTTTAGCTGGAGCAGGTTTGCAAGGAGATCCAAAAGTTCAGCTCTCACAACCCTGAACTGTATTTGCCTCCAAATTAGCAGAACGTATATTTTACCTGCTACAATGGAGTCTTGATGAGCAGCATGTACACAGTAAATCAAACTAATCTTAATTAGCCCAATTTGCTTTAGAAATAGTTTCAGCCACCCAGATTATCATCCCCTTCAGGTTTTTTGAAATCTGCTTAATAGTAACGTGGTAATGAATATTTGCAGATGCACTGAAACCAGTCCATTGCAAACCCAATCCATTTTAAGCTGCATTTAAGTGGAGCTGCGTTCCCAGTGAGAGTCCTTCGTCCCAGAGCCCTTCGTGGGTGTGGGGTGCTACAGACTAACACAATGTCTCCCCCTGCAGGATCGATCAGGATATACACAGCAAAGTGGAAATGGCTGCCGCAGCAATGCCGGAATAGGAAATCGAGACGTCTGCATGCGACAAAAGGATTGCCCAAGAACCATAAGCGAGGAGGGGGGGGGGAAATCTTTCTTACTGCTAGGCACCCCCCCCCCCATCTCAGTCGCTCTAAGGCATCGATTCTGAGTGTCTTTGGTGTAAGGAGTAACTCTTGCTTTTGTTACATTCTCAGAACTGCCCACTGCTGTACTAGCATGTGCTCCTCCACCGGTGCCACAACGCTCCATTTCAAACCTTTTAATAACCTATGTATCAAGCCAAACTTTTTTTTTTTGGTGTTATAGTTACAGCTGTATTTTTCATATTTAAAGCACTCTCTAAAATGGTTGATGCATGTTCATTACATTTAAAATGTATTTATATTCAAAAAGTGATAAAGGACAGAGATTAATATATTTTTATGCCCGTTAGGATTTGAACATTTATCTGTCTGTTTGGAGATGCGTAGGATGTGTGTCATTCAGTCAGAGTAATTTTGAAGGTGTGCCCGTAATGGGTTACTTCTGTGGTTCTCTGAACCTTTTGTGGAAAGCCTACACGTCCTCTCTTGCAATTGCCTGTCTGCGGAAATGGAGAAACCAAGCAAAAATTTGTGGATCATAGGTCAGGAAAAAAAACCTCGAAACATGGATCTTTTTATTATTGTGTTTTGTAGTATGTTACTGGTTTGTAGAATGTTCTGAGAAGAGAGATTCACTTGCTGCAAGTAAACTTCCGGTTACATCTGTGCGCCTCTTTCTTTTGCAGAGAAGTCTATTTTAAGTGTTGTCATGCTTTAAAAATGGGATTGCATGTTCTCAAAGCGGAAGAGAGACCCATGCAACCCTCACATACAAAGGGAAGGACCAAAGTCATTAGTACTAATGGGAAATCTTAAGTAATCATCTGTATTACTCGACCATGAACCTGTTCTGATCTTAAGCGGGGTAGACCCGATATGCCACACAATCGGGCTTACCGGATAATAAAATCAGATACCTATGCACAATATTATGTATTTAAATAATAAAATAACCAACATTTACTGGCTGTTCTAATAATTAGAATATTGCAAAGGACATATGCTAGTATACATGACCACCAAAAAAAAATCAGGCCTAGCTTGTGAAAAAACAACGCTTGCGTCCAATAATTTGGAAAGTAGTTTTGGGTAAATGTAAGAAGTACAATTAATGTGCAATAAAACTTACAAAGCAAATAGTTGAATATTTTTGTTCAGTTCAACTTATCCATAATATCTGTATTAATAATTCGGAGGTCTGACAAATATTATTTGTGCAATACTCAAATAAAGCTTATTGTGCCTGGGTGTCACATTGATCTGAGGATCACCAATAAACAACAGTAGGGAGAATCCAGAACGAGAAGTCAGCGATGGTTTGCAGTGATGATGTGATTCATGGTGATCCAGAACAAGTTCTGGGCTCCAAACCCAGTAAGCAGAGAACAAGGCAGAAGACACCTTGGGTGAGATGCTGGTCCATTACTTA